CGCCACGAAAACCCGGGGGGGGGGGGGGGGGACTAGATCACCGCCGCCGCTCACTTTTAATACAAGTGATCTGAATAGATCACTTGTATTAAACGAGCAGCGGCTCCCACTGTACATTTAGCTCTGCTTTAGCAGAGCTAAATGTACAGAAAACTACCCCGGCGCCCAAAACTGCATGTTCCGGGCGTCGGGCAATAGGGATTCGCTCCATAAGACGCACACACATTTTCCCCCGACTTTTGAGGGGGAAAAAGTGCGTCTTATGGAGCGAATCCCTATTGCACAAAAAGTCGACCTAATGATTTTTAGAGAGAGTTTTTTCACTACACAGATCTGTTTTGCAGCCATGATGTGCAGCAGGGTACAAGCTAATGTATGTAGGCAGCTTTAGAAAAAGTCTAGATGGACTGGTTGGGGTGTTGTAATTTTTGATAGCAAGTAGTATATTTCCACTTTTGCAGCCAAATTGGGACACCGCCTACTATTTGTTATACATTCCCAGATCTTAGTATCAGAGATGTGCACACTGCCTTCCTTAACAAAGTGTTAAAGATCACAAAGCCTGAGTGCTACATTGTATGTTAATGCACTTGAAAAAAAACACTGTTGACATATTAATAAATCTACACTCTACGGTCCTAGTTTGAAGCCTGTAGAAGAACAAGCTGACTTCCCGCTAAACCCAATTGCCTGCATGCTTTGTCTGTGCAGTGAGACCAATGTACTTCGAATTCAGATTCAAGGTGAAATCTTTTGGCATCTTTCTGGAACAGGCAGATAGTGCTGATGGTGGACGTACTGGGCGTAGGAAGGTAAAGACAAAGCAAGTGCAATTTTAACATCAGGTCTGGGTGGACAGCTGTCCGTTAAGAATGTGTGACATTTTTTGTACGACTGTCAGCAAAAAATAAAAAAAAGTGCAGTGTCTCAGACGCATACAACTACAAATGAGATCCTTTGCCTTTTGCAGCATGTGATTTCTGGAATAGCACAAAAAGCTTTTAACGTAAGGAAAATATATAAATAGCAATGCTTAAGGAAAGAACAAGATATGGAACAGTGAATGTCACAAAAGAATTTCAGTGCGTAAGTGTATATTCTGGGCACAAATCCCCTGGTAATTGCACCTAATTAGCATCTCTCATCCATCTTATTTGAGCTGCCTGCAAACGGACTGTAGGCAAGGTCACAGTCAGTGACCAAATATGACCTGCTGGCAAGGTTAGCCAACATAGTTCCATTCAGGCAATTCATACCCTGTCCTCATTATAGCTCTGTCACTGCACCACTCATGCTGGGGAGTTGCACTAAATGAGCACATACTGGCTACGGTGACAAAGCAGCAGCACTCGTCTATTTCATCACAGAAAAAAATAATGAACAAATCTAAAAAGAATCCCCGGGTGGGAAAAAGAAAAGATAATAATATTACATTCTATTTACGTAGTAGCATACTGTTTAGAACGGCTATGCTAATAGGTAGTGACACTGGCATCATTCATTTCAGCAGTTCTTCCAAGGGAAAACAAAATGACACACAGGAATGGAAACATCACTTGTCCAGATATTCCACCGTGACCGAGGACAGAATTAAAACCCACACAAGTGTGAATGATGATCACTAATTAAATCGAGGACTACAAGCCCTAATAGATAACGTTTATGGATATGGGCTGTGCATTTATTACATTACTCTGAGATACTTTATTCTAATGCAAAATAGGTCTTGATTAAATGCTGATAAATGAAGGCCATGTGTTCTTGGAAAATGCTCTCCATAAATGCATATTGTAGTAAAATTCTTGATTGTAATGCGCTTGCCACTTACAGTTCTCTAAATAGAGTTTTGTATTCTCCCTACTTAACCCGTTTATAGACTTCTTCCTAGCGCCAGTTAGAGGAAACTGTACCAAGAAAATACATAGGTTGCCAGTGCTGAACTCTCCTTCTGAAAAATCTAGTTGTCTGGCTGTTGTGCTGCTCCAAAAGCTTCAACGTTTTTGAAGTCACCCACACAGAACAAGTATTATCTGAGTCATCATTTCAGTCTGTTCATTCAAAAACTACCCCATATTTCACAAAAACAGCAATATTTGAAAGTAAGCACAGACAAAAGATCATTGTTTTCCTTATGGTTATAAATCATAAGGAGGACAGTATATCTGGAACTTAAGGTGTAACCTAATCTTGCATAGAGTTGTGCAAATTTATGGCAAGTGCAAACATCAAAAATTCACCAAACACACACTGACATACATACATAACATTTTAGAGGTGCGCTGAAATAACATTTTTCAAAACAGAAACAAAAACAACAACAAAAAGTCAGGCCGAAACTGGAAATAATTTTTGTTCTAACCTTTTCAAATTTTTTACAAATATTTTAGGTTTATACTTTACTGTTGGAGGCTTGGGGGAACTATTAGGGGTCTAAACAAATCCCTATTTCCCTTTTAAAATCGAAAGAGAGATTGAGTCCTCAATCTCTCTTTCTGCATCCCCTGTTATCAATGAACAGGAATCCTCTATACGGAGTGTTCCTGTTCATTCATAACTTGTGGAGATAGTATGTGTACCATGTCCAGAATCATGAATGAACAGGAAGTGATGTAGATCACTTCCCATTCATTCATAATAGGAGACACAGTAAACATACTATGCCCTCAATTATTTACAAACACTCAACGATCACTGAGTGTTTATACCCACTCTCCTTCCTGAATCACTGTTAGAGAAGGCAGAGCAAGCAGTGCGGGCAGGACAGCTTGATCTCCTCTGACAGCTGACTCATCCCCCACACCGCCAGCCCGGCCTCCTGTGACAGTTGTCTCCATCCCCACACCACTCTCCGAATCTGTCACAGGAGGCGGAGCGCTCGGCCTTCTGTGACAGTTTATCTCCTCCCCGCTGGACGCTGCGTTGTGCCAGAGGGGACACAGAGCAGCGCCCAGCAAGGAGGAGCGAAACCAGGGATGCACCGCAATTTCGGCCGAAAGATGGAACTTTCATTATTTTGACATTTGTGCCATTTGCGGAGGACGAAATTTCGGTGCATCCCTAATAAATATATAGATATAACTAAGATATCTATCTATCTATCTATCGATAGATAGATCATATCTATCTATCTATCTATATACCTATAGATAGATCTAGCTATCCATCTATCTATACATACACACACATATATCTTAGAGTTGTTAGCTTAGTTGAAATGCACGTACTTTAAACAGGTTGGTTGATTTTGCTTCTTTTTCATAAAATGTTTGTCAGTATTAGTAGCAATGCATGCAAGAAAACAACAATTATAACACCTACCCAAAATGCAGTGATCCGGTATAAAGAAGATATTCCTTGGAGTATCGTAGAATCAGGAATCTGTCTCCCGTTGATGCAACAAATGGCACAACTTGGAAACGATTCATGTAAGTGTCGGTAAGGTGTATATGAATCTGCTGCAGATGTCTTAGTCACCCCCACTATTTTTTATCACAGATATGGCGGTATTTCCTAATACATTTGTTGCAATTGTCAGAATGTAAAAGTGCCACCTATAAGAACTACCTGAATTTATTGCATGTGTCAGAAATAGCAATTGCATGGATTTCATGAATTTGGCACAGAACTTTTCAATGTGACCAGAACACCAAAAAAGTGTTGCAAATGTTTTATTGAATCACCCCTGGTGTTTCTAGCATATTAAAGTTAAAACTCTAAATACCTTCTCTGATAGTCAGAGCTTCAGATTTTATTACCGTCTCATGTGTACACTTTAAAACAACAACTGTGTCATGCTGCATACTCACATACAATGTAAAGACACATGGCACTTACATCTTCAGACTCGAAGACATGGCAGATCATCTTGTACTGTCTCTTTCCATCTTGGGATGGGTGAGAAGCCTCCACATTGTCCTGAGAGTTACTGCGTGGCATTCTTCTGCGTGCCATCAGGACAACGATATTCCCAATATCAGCAATGTATGATATAGTCCTCAGAGGGTGATCCATCATTGTCTCCTACAGGAAAGCAGCATGAAAACACACACATTTAAGAGCTAGTGTTGCAGATGGACAGAGACTCAGCCTCTTGAGACTGTTGAAGCACAGGCACAACCAGGGTTCTTTTACATAGACTAGAGCAATGTATTTCCCCATTTAACTTTCCTAGCCTCAATGTCAAATATGACAGTTACTCAGTCAGCCACGAGGCATGTGAAGACCCAGTTTCTACAAGAAAGAGAATTGACAGAAAGAAGTAAACAGACCAGAAAGCTAGGCCTGTCCTCAAGGAGCGCTGGCTAAAAGTGTCAAATAGCTAAGATGGTATGTTTTCCCACATTGAGTGAACAAAATGCATTAAAAAAAGGGCCACAGTAAAAAAGTAACTAACATTGCAACACGTACACTGCATTCATGACAATCTTGCAGCGATCCATGAACTATATACTAATCAAAACCAATGCTATCACTACTTGTAAAAATCATTTTGTACCAAACCATGTTGGACCTCCAGTGCTGATGAGCCCCATGGAAATCGCATGTAGAGATGGGGAAGACAAAACATAACCACTTCAGATGTGACCTGGACTAGGATGATTCATGGATACCCAAGAATACCCAAACAAACCCACAATCCACCCAATTTCACAATATGCTTTGTTTTAAACTTCAATCTATTTGCTTTTTACAATGCTAACTTTGACTCTTTGTTTGCTTGTTTAGACTATCAAAGAGATTGGAGGAAGAGTAGGAAGAGCTGAATTTCTAATAAAATGTTCACAGCATGGTCCCATGTGATGTTATTTAAAAAGGTATGTCAAGTAGTTTGGATCAGGGACTCCAAACCTATAGAGTGGATTTAGCACATACAGTTTGTCAGGAAAATTGATCACTCACCTGTGGTGATGGGGTCTGCAAATACAAGATAAAGGAACTGTTCACGAGTTTCAGGTCCGGATCAGGTGCGGACCAGCAGACGCGGTGCTATGTGTTTTGAAGCGTTTTAGTCGCGTTTTTGATGCGTTCCAGTAAAAAAAAAATTCTTTTGCTGCTTTTGCTGGAGTGGGAGTGCGTTTTTGACGCGTTTTGCGTTTCCGGACCGTTTCCTGACCGTACAAAATGTGACATGCAGTATTTTTCTGTGGTAAGCTGAACGGACTGCGCACGTGAGAACTGTAGCCCATAAAACACATAGGGATACATTGGGATGCATTTTTAGTGCAGGAGCATACGGATCAGGTCAGCACAGAAAACGGACGTGGTGTGAACAGGTCCAAAGAGCTATTTTGCCAACACCCAAAAACTCTTTGACATGTTTGGATGAACATTGCCTAAATTTTCCTAAGGGAAAATTGAATTTTCAGTTTAAATCAGCTAAATATATTTCAGGTGCATCAAAACAGCAGGTGTGCAAAGTCTAAAGGTGCCCATATACCTTACGACCATCGCAAGACTTTTGTATCTGTAATCCTGCTAGTCGGCAACGCTGGCTCTCAAAACACCTGAACAATGCCTGCATCCAATCAGATTGTTCAGGTATTTTGACAGCCAGCGGGGCCGAATAGCAAGATACTGAAGCTTGGCCCAGTGGGAGATTACTCCATCCACACAGTTTAGCGTAGATGGAGGAATCTGTGGCACTTTTTCCATCTGACCATAGAACATCTGCAGATAATTGTAAGGTGTATGGCCAGCTTTACAGTTTGTTTTGCTTATAAAAGCAGCCACAGCCAGAGTCAAAAAACCTGTCCTCTGCCACCATGCTGTAGGGAAGAACCCTTGCTCTTTGTTAGGAAGCAATGGTCTAACATGCCCTCTGCTTAACCATACCTATAGCGCTGCAATCAGCAAAGCTCATGCTTCCTGCTGATTGAAACCCTGCAGAGAGACCACTGCTTCCACACATAAAGAGGCCCTTCTCTACAGAATATGGACAGGGGGCAGACTCTTCTAAAGAATACAAACTAAAGGTGCCCATACACCTTACAATTATCTGCAGATTTTCTGTGGTCAGATGGAAAAAGTGCAACAGATTGGCCCAGGTGGAGATTACTCCATCAACACAGTTAAGTGTAGATGGAGGAATCTGTTGCAGCTTTTCCATCTGACCACAGAAAATCTGCAGATAATTGTAAGGTGTATGGCCAGCTTAAGACTTTGCACACCTTTTGTTTTATTGCACCCTGAATGTATTCAGCTCATTCAAACTTAAAGTTCAGCTGGGCTTTAAGGGCTGGGATTTTCATGAAGAAATCTTTCTTTCCTTTGCAGCCCTAGCCATATGGACATGAACAGTCATTTCCTTACTAAATAGCTTAGCAGTGCTTCACATAATTATTGAATGTAAAAAGGACTGGTGATCAAATCTAAGTATTTTTAATGGAAAACACAGGAATTATTTCCTTTGCTTGTAGTTTCAATGACCACAATTCAAATCAAATTATATCCGTTTTACATTGCCCTTAAAATGTAAATGTGAGATAGTTTTCACTATTCAAAATTCATAGAAAATGTTATATATTTTGTAAAATATATTTTAAAGCTTCAGGCAGACAGCTAAATGTGCAGATGAAGTACACATAAAAGGAGCTGTTTTACCTGCCAAACGAGTTGTATATATACAGGTGTGCAAAATACATCTGCTACACAGAACTGCCCTGCCCACACTTAAGGTGCCCATACACTGCTCGATTCTCGTACGAGAATCGCGGGAAATCCCGCGATCGTACGAGAATCGAGCAGTGTGAACGAAGACGTGCGACCGTTTCTACTGTACGGTCGCACGTCTTTTGTCAAACCAGCATGCTCGAAAACCCGCCGAGAATCGTACGATTGTCGGCGGGTTTCTAGCCTGCTCGTTCGACAGCTGCGGAACGGGCCGGTGTGTGCACGCGCACACTGCCCGTTCTGCATTGCGGTCATCGGAAGCCCGCCCCTCAGCGGGGCGGGCTTTCGATGATCGCAAGTACGATCTGCCTGTCCAAGATGGGCAGATCATACCAGCTTTTAATAAGCTTACGACCATCGCAAGACAAAAGTCTTGCGATGGTCGTAAGGTGTATGGGCACCTTTACAGGTCTTTTTCCCTCCTGCAGCCTGTGACAGGACAATGAAATGAGACGCAGCACAGTGATAGCTTATCTTTCTTTGATTCTGCTCTCTCCTCTTATCATCTTGCACTGCAAAGGGCTATTTGTGCTACTTCTCCCTCCCCTAGTCTGAGCTCCGATGTGCAAGGACTGCAAGAGCCCAATACCAAATCAAATTAAAGGTACTTACACTGCTTGCTTTAAAAAAATATGTAAAAGAGAATACAGAGCTGCAATAATTGATGTCTTTTATATCTGCTTGGAGTTGAGTTTTAAGACTTGCTTCTAGTTGCTATTGCACAACAACAGGCAATACAGACCTGGGCCTCTTGTGACAAAAAACTTTATATGCAGTCACTGTCACTATTTTTTTTAATCAATCCTATCATATTATATGCTTTTTGTTATGCTTTTACAACTTTGATATTCAATAGGCCCTTTATATGGAGACCTACTGTCAGAGGCAATGCTGGATTGGTAATTAGAAAGCGGTCATACTATATACTATATTAAGAAAATGAGCCCATATTTTATATATGGACTGAATCATAACTTACTAGAACATTAGATGTGTATATAGTAGAAGAAATGCTGTCTCAGAGGAATAATAGTGCTTTGTACATTATTGTCTATAGGCTAGAGTGTTCTGAGCCATGTTGGTGAGATAGAGCTGATGAGCTGCCTGTGTGGATCAGCACACCTCATACACATACCACCCCTAAAATGTATGTATAGCCAATTTTATTTTTGTTTTGGGGAGTAGAGAAAGCTTACCATCCCCTTCAAGATTTTTTTGCTGTCTGTTAATCCTGGGTATATTCATCCTCTCTACGTGTCCTGGCCACCACTGCCACCATGATGAGAATTCCCAAATTTTCCAGTTGTCACCAGAACAGTAGGTGAAGGGTAAATCTTCTAATGAAGACATCTGTTCTGTAACATATGGCTAAGAGGGGAATTTCTCTGACTTTCTATAAATTTCCCCCCTTCATGTTGCATCTTCAGTACAGAAAGTGAAGGAAAAACTCCCCAACAGGCAAAAAAATATAAATCAAGTTTTCACTATATATATACACTTTAGTTTAACTGCCAACATTACTACATGCCAGTCCAAGACTGAAGTGAGGTGTCTGAGCACGAAGTATGGCTTCCTGAAATTTGTATGCTATACATCACTGAAGATAAAACTAGAGGACAGCTAAAGCTTAATATCATAACTTAAAACTTTAAAAGGTTAATGAATACAAGCGGTCCTAGTAAGATTACGGTTTCAGTTCCACCACCTCACCTCCTCCATCCCACAGTAAAAACATTCATATCAATGATTTCGCTTATTGTCATTTACAGAATATCTAATGGAAAACAAGGACTCCCTGTCCTTGATGCACATTAAAATAACTGCTGATAGACTTTTTAATGAAAAGTGTACCGCCAGTTACTGACAAACTAACCAAATGGATCCACAGACTTATGCATACCTGCGTGTCAGCATTCAATACTTTTATTCTCTGCGTAGAAATAAATAAGTCCACTTCGGTCATAGGTTGAGCCTCCCCTTCTGCAGCCTAAAAGAATAGAACAAAAAAACACATTAAGAATGGAAGAAATACAAAAATTTTTTTGCTGTAAGACAGACAATTTTATCTGTGATCAGAACAGCAACTAATAATACTAATAACTGGAATTTGGGACAGATGTGGATTGCAGTTTACAGTATACACATAAAGTACACATTATTTTGAACATGTAGGTTTTCATCTGCAGTGTGCTTTTTGCTGATTTTTATATCCGGTTTCTAATTGTTTACATCTAAAGCACAGCATTTTGGATACTTCCAAAAATAAAAAATAAAAATTTGCGATCATAATTTTATTATCTGCTTTCAAGTGGGGAGTAAATACAAAACGTTTGTATACAAATACGGATTCCTACCTCTAAAACACACTTAAAAGGAGAACTATGAGATGAGTGATTTCCACTCACCTCATAGTTCTAGCCGACCTGTGACAATGAGACTACAGTATACCGTGAGCTGTAGCTCGCGGTATACTGAGCTTAGGGTAACGGGAGGACACAAACTAGCACTGACCCCATAGTTCTCCTTTAAGAGAGTTTAACTGCTGAGCAGGCCTACACTGTCCTCTTAGCTGCTGCCATTACGCCCTCGTTCCTCTGTTTCCATTTATTTCACTGAACCTCTAAATTCTGCATGAATCAAACAACACAAACAAAAAAACAAACAAAAATGACAGCAGCTAAGAGGATGGTATGGGACCTGTACTAGCAGATGATCTTCCTTTTGGGCATAGTGTGCAAGTGGAATTACCCCATATAGTATTTAGTATAATATAGGGTGGATCAATTATTAAATCACACCTTACATTACAATGCAAGGCCCGATGTCATATGCAGACCCCCACCATCTTTGATTACTTAATGTTAGCATTTCCAAAAATGTACCTGTAAATAAAAAAGTTTGATTTATACTTACCTTACCTCTGTCTTCCGAATCACTGGATGTATGTCCCCATCCTTCCGGGGAGATTCCTGGAGAATACAGTGCAGCCCAAATCTCATGAAAGACACATTAGTCCATTACAAGAGCATCTTTTCAGGAGACTTTGACTGCTTTGTATTCCCCGGGACCTAGCCAGAACAAAAATGTGACATCATCCATGCATAGGCGAAGCAGATAGAAGACAGGGGTAAGTACAAATGTAACTTTTTTCTTTACAGGTACATTTTGGAACTACTAACATTAGGTAAATTTAAAGTGGGAGGAGGCCACTTTATAGTACAGTATAAGTGGGTCTGGGATTTTTAGAGGATAAACAGGACAAATAAATAAATAATTATTCATTAAGCATGGTTTAAGCACTGTTCTGATGGGCAGATTTTCTTATATACAAAAACACAATATACAAGCACATTCAACACACAAACAAAACTAGTAAGCAAGTAAAATGCAGAGTAACATCAAATTAAATAGAAAATGATACATTCCATTCTAGCATCTTTTTGTCAATTTGAATTCAAAGGCAAGTTCTACTTTTTTTTTCTTTGCTTGGTTTGAGCTATAGTATTGTGCAAATACAGAACACACAGGCCTGAATATATGTCACGAATTGGCAAGCCTCTACCATTACCACCAATTTATGATGGTCATCTTTCACCCAACTGTAGTGTATATACTGTAGATATATATATATGGTATCATAAGACTGATGAAATGAATAGATGGCCAATGACAAAAAGGAGGACAAATGGCTATTGCGAAAGAAAGACAGCAAATTGTGAAAAATGAGAAAACGATGGTAGCTACAAACAAAAATTAAGAAGAAGGGAAAATGCAAAAACTAAATATAAACAAGCATAACAACAAACTGATGAGATTGTACTGCACCTTCTTCCTGCTTTTGGCTAATTTCTGGGCCATCTGCTTAGCATGAAATAAACAGAGACAGGAATATGGTTAGCGAATAGAATACAGATGATAATTCTAAATGGAGATCTAGTGGGTTTGGTGTGAAATCAAGGGTGTAAATGTCAGAGCAAATCAAAAAGTTTTTTTCCTCCAATTCTGGTCAATGCTCTGCATCACAATTGTAGACTTTATAGAAGGTTATGTCAAATTAACATTAGAAAACAAGGTTTTTTTAGTCTCAAACAAAAACTGTCCTGAGTGAAACATAAAAGTAACACCAATGAGGGTAACTCATTAAAATATGGATACAACATTGTAGAAAAGATGAAGATGTAGGGACTGTAACCCTTCATCCATACATTTTAGTTCATTCTAAGAGTGGGGTGACATTCATGACTCTGTGAAAAGTACAGTAATCCATAACAACCAATCAGACTTCGGTTGAATGTGATCAAAGCAGTGACAGACAAATTCTTATTGGTTACTATAAGTTACTGCAATTTGTATGTTACCTTAGGCCTGTAAACTGTCATTTAAAAAAAAAAAAAAAAACTCAGAGGATTTAAAAGCTTCCAGTTGTGGATAGGTTTGATTTCATGGCTTAAAAGGAGAACTATGGGATCAGTGCTTTTCCCCATAGTTCTCCTAAGGGTAACGGGAGGACACAAACTAGCGTCCTCCTGTCACCCAAAGCTCAGTATACCGCAAGCTACAGCTAATGGTATACTGAGACGCAGCAGTCGGAACGGATCCCGACAATGCTGTCTGGATCCATCCAGCTGCGTGAGTGACAGCTGGCTCTGCCTATCTAGAGGCAGAGCCAGCTGTACCCGCCCCCTCCCTTATCCGTCCCGCCAGTTAGCACTGGAGGATCGGACAGGGGAGGGGGTGGGAATCCCTGCAGGGAGTCGTGAGTGACAGTCACGGCTCACTGCGCGGATAGATCGAGAAGTGGGCAAGCGTCGGTATGTGTTCGCTCACTTCCCGATCTACTGAGCCGACCTGTGACAGTTTCATTGTCACAGGTCGGCTCAGATTATGAGTTAAAATCACTTGCCTCATAATTGTCCTTTAAATGTTATCAATATTTGTCAGTGAGAGGAGTGAGATGAGGCTGATGTCCTAACAGTTCATGCCTCTTTGTTTCTGCTGCCCCCCAAAAGCCAGCATCTTCCTACACATCTTTCTGTTTCTTGTACTAATTACCTAATGCTAGATTTTGCAGCCTAGGTTCATGGTAAATGTTTAGAAAATAAAAAATAAGATGGTGGAGGACTTCAGACGTACGTATCTACTGTAACAACCTTAAAACGACAGATTTCAGTAATAAGAGCAATAAGGTAATGACAACAACATACCATAATCCCTTCAACTCTTCCCATTTCTGTGTCATCTGGTTGGGATATACTTTAAATAAATCACATTTCTATGCTTTTGACTATTTATTCTCAGTTCCATTCATTGCAGTAAGCAACAAAGAGCTCTAAGGAATTGTGATGAGGGCACCCACATAGTTGAAATCAGAGCTGCAAAGTACAAATAACAAACAAACAAAAAAAAAAGGTAGTGTTGGGGCTTAGTGGGTAGCACTTGCAGTAGTGGTGCCCTTGGTATAAATCCTGGCCAGTACACCATCTGAATGGAGTTTGAATTTTCTCTTTGTGTTTGTGTGGCTTTCCTCCCACAATCCAAAGAAATGCTGGTGGGCTATTTGGCTAGTGTCTAAATTGGTCCTATTTGTACATGGGTCAAAAATCACAACTGTGACAGACTCTAATCATACTTTGTCCAGTGGTTAATACAGCTTTGGTATGCATTTCAGGGAAGGAGGCCCAAAAATGTAGAGTTCCAAGGTTAAAAGTGCAACAAGGTCATGGGGCATTAGTGTTTTTCATCATCAAACATATTCCGCTTCTCTAGTAAGAAAGTGATCAGTTGTGAAATAAAAAAAAACCTACAGGGTTATTCACAAAAGAGTGACGAGTTTGGAGATGGTAGGAGAAGTGAAAAATCTAGGACAACATAGCCGATTTGGAAAAATTCTCCAATTCAGTTCACTTTCCAGTTTGGCTATGTTGCCCTAGATTGTTCACTTATTCTGCCTCCTCCAAACTCTTCCCCCTTTTGTGAATAGACCAGTTAGTTTCAGAGGCCTGAGCAGTGACGTTTCAGCTTTAGAGCTTTGTAAAACATGGAGGACAGCTGAATGGTATAGTGCTGACTCCAATCATCCTAATCAGACTCGGCGTAGGGGCTTTTTATAAATGTATCTATGTGGAAGGCTCTTTAGAACCTCAATAGGGGGAATTTATCAAAGCAATTGAGAGTGTTTGAACTTGCACGGAATATATTTGTACCAGATTTATCAAGCTAGTGTAATGTTGTTGATAAATGAGGTTTAATAGACTCCCGGAAAGACTGCTAACTTCAGGCAAAAAGCTTAACTGTCGGATCTTGAAGAAGTGGTGATGGGGACTTCTTAAGTTGTGATTGTTTTCTTAGGTGATGCTCCAGTTTCAGATAGCCCAGAACAAGTGCAGGTGAAAACACGTGCAAAAAAAGGTGCAAAAAACATGCAACTGAAAAAGTAGTGCAAGCTCTGAAGAAAATTAGTGCAAAACACGTGCAGTTGGAAAAGTAGTGTAAGCTCAGGTGAAAACAGGGGCACATGTTGAAAGGCGCAAGTGCTTTGATAAATTCCCCCCAATGTATATAAAAAGTTTTTAAATAATAATTACGGAAATGTAGACTATTGTTTTGGGGAACTCTAGTTGCGGACTACCTTAGCATTTATTAATACTATAAATTACATAAATACTGTGCCCAGTGAATCAACAACATTGCTCACCGTAATGCTAAACACAATCTTTTATTTTTTTAACATGATTTGGGGTGACAAAACTTAGGGGTTTTAGGTTTCATGTGTTCACCTTAATTCGACTAACAGCTTCCTGTGCTTGCATCATGCGCACATTCTTTGAAGGAGTTTTGTCAGAGAGTAGCTGTGTGGAGCCGAGGTAATTTGCAGCAAAAATAATTCCATCTATCAAGTCTTCAGGATCGCAGGGTCCTGGCACTGGAGAAAACAAAAAATGTCAATATAAAAATTCTTCCTGGAAAATGAATGGATAAGCATATAATTACTATTTGACCTTTTCATCACAGAAAAATCCAATATGAGTACGGTCACAAATCAAACTAACGCTCCAGTACAAGAAAGTCATTTCTGGAAATACTGCTTTTTCATAATTATTTACCAGTGTAACGAGTGTCAAAAAGCAGTATTACTATAAATCAATGCAAAACTTTCCAACATGAAAAGTTACAATGCACCACCATACCGTCAGCAATTGTAGTACGGTAATTCTTAGTGTATGACAATAGCTTCTTCACCTTTAGATCAGGTGCTTCTTTTATAATATTTTATTATACAGTATGTATTGCAAAGAACAAATCCTAAAAACACTGCGAAAAAAGAAGTCGAACTCTATCCAAAACTTTGGGGGCAAATTGTGACGCTGTGTAAGGTATTAGTCGACACCTGAGGGTCATGCTTTTGATTTCTGAGGGAAGTTCCTCAATACATTACTGAAAGTCCAATTTCAGCCAAAATGTTTTACATTTTTTTTTAGAGTGGTGAAAGGTTACAAAATCTCCTTTTATTAATTATTGTTTGTGTCCTTAATTGGACGATTTTTGCTCACTTTCAGTTCAGTTTCCAGGAAAGAAAGTGAGCAGAGAAGTAGGACAAAGGCACAATCAAACCATTGCTAGGATTGAAAGGGGTTTGAACCTGGTTAGGATTTTATTCTTGGATAGAGTCATCTCACTGGGACAGGAACTAATGGGAAATCTCTGACAGCAATACAAATGTGCATCTTTCTAAGAAAACGTGCGAAATGTAGGATGCCATTGCTGTCCTGCCCTTCTTAGGATGAGGATTGGTTTTATTACCACAAGTCACTAATAAGCAACAATGTAAGACATAAGGAATTCTGACTCTTCAATGGTTTTAATTTGCTACACAAATGTTCTGGGTCTCTGAAGCCAGATACAGTCAGGCAACTATTATTTTCAAAAGAAGGCCACCAATGGCATTCCCATATCTGACTCTTGAAATGTGCAGTAGTTACCTCAGCACACAAGGGTAGTTATCAGCCTTAGAATAATTTCACTTTGGCAATTAACAAAACTTAACCAAATGACATTTTAAATTATGATCAGCGACAGAACCTCTAACTCTTACCTTCTACGTAAGTTGGAAAAGAAGCCAGGCTCTTCCTTGACTGTAATCAAGACAAATAACGTTGAATTAAACAGAGGAAAAACACATGTATGTAAGTAGAAGAAACCGCTTCATGCACAAATTACACACAAAACAGCAAAATGCAGACCGACAGCCACTAGTAAAGACAAATTAGATTGTTTTCAAACAATTAGTTATTTTTTGCAGGCTTCTTTTATTAGCATGTTTAGATAATTAAGGTGTTCAGACTTCAATTTGAAGGCTCCTGGCCTGGATGGTTTTGTAATGCTTGCAAACTGCATGCTACCTCTTGAAGTTACAGCTTAGGAGACTGTCATCCGGTTTCTGGGATTCCAGGGGCTGAAACTGAAATTATGGTAAAATATTCATATCCCCAATGTGTAATTTCATGCCCATGGTGCTAGGAGGAAAACAAACCAGCTGGCTAAATAGAAGACACAAACACAGTATAACGTGAAGCCAGACAACCTCATATTTAAGCATATTTCAGTATTCACTACACCTGCACAAACTGCTTTTACGTATCAGGTAGTGCAATGAGCTATGGAAAGAGCATTATCCAACAACAGCTGATCCCAGTTTTATTTCATTTATTTAGAAAAGTCAGAACAATGAAAGATCATTTCTGATTGGTTACTGTGAGTTATCATCACACTCGACCTTAAAAAGACCTCACAATTAATGCTCACGAAAATGAAGCAATGTGAAAATTCCCCAAATGTTCGCTTTATTGGTAAACTGCTGAAACGCCATTTGATTTCTGCATGGTAGCAAACCTATTATATATCTGGGATCTCTTTAAATGTGTATCCTGAGGAAACATGAACCTAATTCTCAGGTCCAGCCTGCAATTTGTTAGGACCATTCCTGTCAATACTGAAACACTTAAGTTTGGCCAAAATGTTGCTTATTTCAACAGTAAATAATGTCCTTTTTTTGTACTAACACCTTGTCAACGGTTCTCGATATAGTCACCATCTATAATAAAAGGTGCTTGGTGGTCGACCATGCTCCTCAGGGCATAAAATGACTGCTGACATTTTTTCTATCAATGTTCTTTACCCTCATAGAAACATGATGTCATGTAATAACAAGCAATGGGGAAAACATTTTAACTGAGCGATCAATATAAATATACTTCAGCATTAAAAAGTAGGCAGTTTATATTGTAAGAAAGATACTACATAGTAACATCATACATTTAGTGGATTATGGGTTTAGCCAATATAGACAATAATTACATCAAATACAAAAGTAAAATAAGCCAAACATTCAACTTTACTTATCGATGTATGCTAAAGAATACAAAAAAGTTTGTTTCCCATCACCACCATTCAGACTAAAATTGAGGACAAAGATTGACTGGTGACCATGTGTAACACAATTGGTGAAACAGAACATTTTAAAAGCCAAGTCCATCAATAACCAGATGCCCATATGTTTCTGATGCTCTGATGTTCAGATCTCTCTGTGAAAGTATGTGCATCATTTCGTTTCACGATCAGCAATACATTTGGCCTGCTACTAAATTCTCTGTTCGCTCTATAGTGGGCAAAAGTACGTCACTAGTACTGGTGCCTAGTAAGGTTATACTAGCCACAGTGACATAGCCACAACACTAGAGTACTGAAAAGATGCAACTAGCTGGTGAGTACTATAATTCATTCCTGTCTTATAGGGAACATCTAGTAATTGTGCCTTTACAGTGCCCTAAATGTCTCATAGAAAATAGCAGTGACCTGCTGAGCAGTTACCTAGCCTCCTAGCTCTATACCTGTAGTAGAAGATCATCTTAGGCACTGCTGCCTATGACTGCCAGTCTTAGGGGATTCAAAATAAGGCTTGGTGATTTTGCTACTGTGCTGCTCGGTGTTCTCCTTGCTGAAGAGAAAACTGTACCAGAGTATCTACCTGCATCTTTTATATTGTGGACCTGTACTTCCTCCAATTCTCATGCTACTTTATTACTATTCAACCATCAGTCATTAATGGGGCAGCTCTTCTACCAAGATAGCTGCCTCCACACAGAGACAAAAGTATCAACCAAGACATGGCAAGTAAGTCATGGAAAAATGAACAGCTTTGGGAGCCTCCAATACAATAGTGATGACCTGTACTTGGCCCTTTGCTTGCTTCTTTTTTGGGCACAGCTTCCCCGGCAAAGATTACCTTTAAATCTAACATTAGTTCTCAGCAACTTAGCCTTTGACATGGTGATGTTCCATTGTTACAGAGTAGTTCATTATGTGAACCGTATGAACCTTTATGTAAAAAAAATTATTAAAGTTGAACTCCAGCCCTACCCTAAAGTGGACCTTTACCCTTTTTCACTAAAAATCACCTCTGCATGCTGATATGAAATCATTTCACATCCATAAGTTAAACAAACATAGTTATTCTTTTACTTGCAATCACTGTTTTTCCACTTCCTGATCCCCTTAGGCATTAGTGAGGTAGCCTGTGCCTACCAGATGCATCATGGGATGGCTACTCCAGCAGTGCATTGCTGGGAAATCTCATCTGTAAGCTGCAAAATCTCGTGAGATCTCAGGGAGATCTCTTAAGATGATGTGCATGGTCACATGTGTCAGAGTACAAGGAAGTAAAGGGAGATGAATTAAGCAGCTTTTAGTAAAATTGGCCAATACGAGAAGAATGGGAAGGAAAATAAAAATAAGGTATGCAAAGAATAAAAAGCCTACAATTATCTAGAAGTGTGTGTTTGTAGATTGTCATTACTAAACATTTCTGAAGGTATCTTTGTTGTTATTTTAAAGATCAGGGTGAAGCTTCTCTAAGTCTTTCACAGTTGTATAGGCTCCTCTCCAGGCCTGAAATTGCTTACTCGGAGCTTCCCACAATGTGCATTCAAAACTACAGCAGGGCAGATAGATTCTGTGTCATTCCTGACTGGAAGGCATCCAACTCCATCTCCCGTATTACCCAGCCTGATTGTCCCTGACTGCAACCCATTCATTCATTGGATTTCAGTTCTTTCAGTCATGGAGACTCAGCTTCACATGTGGCCATTACATAAGCCCTCGTTCACACCTGAACGTTTTGTAGCGCGTTCTACGCTCGATGAACGCTCTACAAAACGCTCAAAAATATAAATCCCATTGTATTCAATGGTCTCGTTCCCACCTTGGCGTATTTCCGCTCGTCCCTAACGCGCTACAAAACGGCCCACGCCTGAAAAGGTACAGGTACTACTTTAGGCCGCTTTGTTGCGCGTTTCCATTGGGATACAGCCAAGTAGCCTTCGGTGTGAACGAGACCTAAGGCACAAAAGGAACGCCTACTTCTCCAGACTAACATCCACACATTTTAATATTTGCATAACGCCTCCAAAAATGCAGCTTACTCATTGCATCAGTGCTGATAGGGGCCATAAGAATGAATGAGATTTTGGTGGGGAAGCTTTTCGTCGTGCTGAATCAGCTGCAACAATACGCTTAGTGTGAACCAGGCCTAACGGAGAAATAGAGCTACTCAGAATGAGTTGTAACACCAAGCAGAAAAATCGTATTTCAAATTGCCATTGATTATAATTGGATACAGTACTACATAACTTGCAATGTGCTATTACGTTATGGCATTAACGTTTTGTACAGGTTGTTCAAAAACATTAACTTTTTGGTTTTATACTTGATGTAGAAAAAGAACAAAAGGCGCACTAAAAGACAGTGTGACATTAGGGATGTCCCGATGCCACTTTTTTAAGACCAAGTACAAGTACTGGCCCTCATGTACTTGAGACATAATAAAAAAATACCTAGTCAAACGAAGATTCGCAAGGGAGAATAATGAACTTTTACCTCTTTGTTGGAAGAGGATTCAGCTGAATCACAGGCATTCTGTCGATGTTGCCGGTTTAAAGATTCTGCTCCCTGCGTAGAAGAGTCAGGAGATGGAGACTAAACAGCAGGGAAAGGGAAAAGAATTACAAAGAATCAAACAAATGTTTACTTTAGACAAAAGGAAGTACATTTAAAAGCTGAGCTCCAGTAAAAACAGCTTAATAAGCAGTTGAAATACATATATAGGAACTGGCTCCTGAAAAATATATAATTAGGTTCAGCCAATCCTGTGATCTAGGCACCTCTGCCAAATAGCACAGTTAGGTCCTAACCTTCCTACTGCAAAACACATCTTGATCAAGTACACAACCCCAGTCTACTGAATGGACAATGGAGCAGCAGCACACTGATCAAACATCACCCTATAATCTCTTCTTGAAAACAGATTCTATGCCAGTAATGATATCAGCACACGTGACATATATTGGTCTCATTCCAGCAAGCAGTGCAGGGGATTAAAAAAGCTTGATTCAAATTCAGGTACTTACATTAATTGCATTGAAAAAAGGTTTAATGCTTCTTTTTTGCAAAATATTTTATAATTTTTCACAGTTTTAAAACATAACAATGCATGCCACTTGTTCCCAACAATACGGGAACCAGGCGTAGCTATGCACCCAAAAACAATACACCCACACTTAGTCATAAATAATAAAATAACCGGGAATAAAATCCCTGCGTGGTTAACCCGGGGGGGAAAACCCGCTGAGTACAGGCGGGGTGGGGACACTCCCCAACATAGCTCTTCAACTGTGCTTGACACCACATAGGTATAACATTTCAGGATTATAAACGCTAGAACATTTTAACAAGGAGGTAGTGCCACTACGTTGAACTCAGGTCTCCTCTGGTTCGACACTGTCACATGAGTGCACCCATATTTAGGCTTCACCCTAGGGGTCACGGTTTAATGCTTCTTTCATAAATAAACAACAACATGTTCTTCTATCAATCTGGAGTTCAGATTTAAAGTACATCTGTCAATACTGTACTGTAAAAGCACTAAACAGGCCACAGCAATACAACATAGAAACCTAGCGGTTACCGCATCTACCATTATATAAACCTTGAGTTCCTCTCAGTGCCTCGAATCCCAGACCAGTTTTCACACCTAGACATGTTAAGGGATGACCTCAGGGCTTGTTCGCACAATGTCTCCGATGCATTTTTTTTAAGCTTAAAATGGGCTTTCAGGTGCAGTCCTCCAGTGCGTTTGCATGTGTTTTTGATGCGTTTACATACGTTTTGGTGCATTCCATATCAGAGATTGGGATGCATTTCAGATGCAGACAAAAACTGTTCTGGTCCGGATCTGGTGTGAACCAGCCCTTACTCCCATCTATACATTCCTACTGGCTACTCATCATAGTGACTGTTAGCTTATAGAAACAATTGAGAGGAGGTGGACCACTACAATGAAGTATCAACACCATTATGCTGCAGCGTCCAAAGATTTTGGGTGCTGCAGGGGTCCTTTAAAGAAAGCAGCAGCAGCAAATACAACTTCTGCTACAAACGGCAAACATTTGATATAGGTATTGGTTATCTTTAGTTATCTTGCCATTTGTGTTCTTAGCCATGCTGTATTCAGGATCTATAGAAATGATGTATGTTGGATAATCCCAGATTCTGTTTGCAATATCATCCCCTGTTGAGATTGTACACATACAGTGCTGGAAGCCGACAGACAGGCTACATAAAGAAATAAAGGAAAAAAAATTGCATGTATTTTCATTTTGCTTCTGTAGCCTGCATTTTTACCTGTATATTATTTATAAAACATTCATGCTCTGCAAAGTTCTGACTTTTACATTCGCACAGCATTTTAGCCACTAGATGGAGCTGAGGAGCACAGGAATAAAGATGAAATAGAGGATGGGGTTGAGCCTGAAATCAATGGTTTCCAGTCCACTAAGAAACAAAAATTGACCTTTTTGAACCCCCAGCCCACACGTTTTAGCTGCAAGTTGTGTCACTTTTTTTCCATCTGAAATGCAGATATGAAATTTGCCGAGATTAATTTAAAAAATGCGTAGGAGCTGATAACTATACTATCAGAAAAACAAATATACTACATTTAACATTTATATGCAGCAAATTGATGTGCACGATAACCTAGCAGTTACATGAATCATCACAAGCTTTAGTCACAACGGACAGCATTAGTTGACATCCAAACCTACAAGCTTTTCATTTTACTGCACATGGTGGGCACACCATAGTATTACCGTAGGGCTATGTTACAGCCTTGCTAACATAGATTAATAAAAAAGGGACAGAAAAGAGGAAATTTCTACCCTTCCAGAAAAAAAAAATATGATCCCCCAGGCTCCATTCAGCTCTAAGAACATGGTCACATGACTTATACTGAAACAGAAGGTGAACCAATCAATTCAAAGAGATCATTTGGCCAAATGCCTAGGCCTCCAGATAGGAAACCAGTAAGAATAAGAATATGAAGCAGTATCTTATCCCGTAAATATAGGATTTCAACCCCTCTATGAATCCAAATTTACCCATTCAGCTTTATACTAACATTTAAGTACAAGTCCATTTTAAAGTGCATGTCAAGGCAAATAAAAAGAAAACAAAATGCAGAACATCTCTGCACTACATTCACATGTTACCATCTTTTATCCCATTATAGACCCTGCTATTAAAGAAACATAGTGATTGAACTGCCATAAATGCACTCAGCTCTTAAACCCTGATGGGAGTTGGAAATACGTAGCATTTTTGTGGACTGACTGGATTCATTATTGAAAAAAGCTTGAGAGTTTAATACTACTTCAGCAGAGAGAAGTCACATTACCAGGCTGGTTACACAGTGTGGCAGGGCTGTGTAAATCTCATGACTGGGTGGACACAATTACCAATGTTTTAGATGGTAAAACGGCCCCTACATATAAACTTTAACTCTGTATTTAGCTTTTTTTCCTGGAGCTCAGCTATAAGAAATTTTTTTATGTAAACATCCCATTAACTTGTCATTCCATATTCTTATTAATGGAAAACTCCGGGGGAAAATGATCCCGAACCCTTGCAGTGGGGCTACCCCTGCACTGCAAGGGTTAAATGCTTGTTTTTGGGGCTACCCCTGCAGTGCAAGGGTTAAGTGCACCTCTTTTGGGGCTAACCCTGTACTGCAAGGGTTAAATGCTCATTTTTGGGGCTACCCCTGCACTTTTTGTCTAGGTTAAAAAATAAAGTTAAAAAAAAAGTTATACTCACCTGATCCTTAGAGCCAGCTTGCTTTGAGACCGATCCCTTTCATCTATCTCCTTCTCCGCTGCAGCTTCCCTCGGCGTCCTCATATCCTATACACAGTGTTTAGAACGTGATGACTCACAGGACCTTAGACCGCTGCAGTGGAGGAGGAGAGAGGCTCTAGGGACTGGTCTAAGATCAAGCCGGCTTGGAGGATCAGGTAAGTAGAACTGTTTGGTTTTTTTAACCTAGGGAAAAACGTGCCCTTAACAAGAAAAGGAGACTGAGGACTCTGTGACCGTAATCTCTTTTTCCATTTCAAAAGAGAGAAAAATAAATAAAAATTTAACAAATCGCAACCCTAACCCTACATTTACAAATATTTGTTATTTATTACCTCAATACAGTTTTATCTTTTACATTTAGTCAGAATCTGGTGAATTATGGTTTTTTTTTGATTGCGCTGATACTGATAGAGTCTTTTTATCGATTTAATTGTGTATTTTTATCGGTTTAATATTGATTCGATAAACATTTGCGCAATTATCACAGGACCTACAATATTAGTAGCGCCATCTTTTTATTCTAACGGGCCTGTGCTTTCAGAAAATTTATGGTTTGGGGGGTCTTTTATAAACTCTAAAAGCAGCAGTTGAAAAGAAAAAAAAGGAAAGAAAAAAAAAAAAAAAAAAAGGGGAAAAATTGCAAAAATGGCCAGCTGAGGTCAACTCAAAAGGGTTACACAGGGCTTGGCAGCGAAAGGGTTAAGGGTATTTCATATTCAAAATTGTAAGTTCTCCTTTACTATCTGTATGTTAGACATGGAGCCAGATGTTTGAAAACATGATGAAGTGAATTTATCAAAACTGGAACAGACAAAACCTGGAGCAGCTGTGCATGGCAACCAATCGGCTTCTCTCTTTCATTTTCAAATCTAAACTGAACAAACTGAAGAGAGGAGCCGATTGGTTGTCATGCACATCGGCTCCAGATTTTGCCTGCTCCAGTTTTAATAAATTCCCCCTGATGAATGTAAATACGTGGGCAAAACTTTAAAGAAACTCTTTGATCTGGATTCATTTTAAAAAAGTTTGAGAGTTTAATACTACTTTTAAACCAGCTACATATTTTCTAGCCTCCATACACCGAATGACTTGCACTGAGAATTACACAAACATTACCAAGCAGGAAGGAAACCCTGTATATGTAGCATGCAAATGGCTGCCCCAATTATTCTTGACATATGTAAAATGCAAAAAACTTCATCTTTAAATCAGGCTAACCTGTTATATGGCATATCTTTATTCCTTGAGAAAAAAAACATGACCATTCCCTTAATTAAAGTTCGGTCTCTAGCTGTTTCCATCGATCACAGTGGCAACTCATTTATAATGATCACGTCTGTGAGAGCTTTCCTGTCCCAGGCTTGGCACTGGGGTGAAATGGTTACATGGATGACATTGCCATAGTCTGCTATAAAACTCTGCAATGCAGGGACAGATACTGCAGGTCTCAATGAAAAAAGTTTTACTTTGGAAATAACAGGAGCTGTTACCAGATGTAAAAAGCCTGCTTTATAAAAAAGAAATGAATAGCATAAATATAGTAATTATACTTCAGATGACATAGAAATGCAAAAAAAAAAAATGAAGAAAAAACACACTGGAGGGGAATTTATCAAAAGTGGAGCAGACAAAATCTGGAGCAGCTGTGCATGGCAACCAATCAGCTTTTCGCTTTCATTTTCAAACCTGAACTGAACAAACTGAAGAGAAAAGCTGGGCAACTGCTCCAGTTTTTGTCTGCTTGTTTTGATAAATACCCCTCATTGTATACATCTATAATGAATA